TGTTGCTGGTCGTGGTGCAGGGACTCATCTCTTCTTCATCTGATGACAGAGCACAAGGTATTGGGAATGTGTTTCCCTGATGTTTCTCTTGACCCTTCCTCACCACCCCAACCCCTCCCCCTCAGCTCAGCTCAATTCAGTTCGCCAAGGAGTTCTGAGGGCCGGTTTCTGCGCCAGCACACTCAGGGCTCACACAGGACACCCACCCTGTACATAAGGACCAATACAAAAGGTCCGTGATTCATTATTTACTACATCAGATTAGGGAAAAAGCACCATTTAGATGACATGGTCAGTAGCAAAGGAGGCACACGGTATCATCTGAGAGACTCTGCAAGGAGAGGAGCCCTTAGGTGACTTCCCAAAAAACCAGCCTGCTGGGGAGGAGGTAGAGGCCTGAGAACCTGAAGGCTGAGCAAGCCCGAGCACCTGCCAGGAACACAAAGCCCGAGGAAGAGAGCCTGGCCACAGAGCAGACCCGTGCCAACCCTAAAACTCAGCCCCATCCACTCAGCCAGGACTTCTCTGTGCTGTAATGATGCCCCCAGCTCCTTGCAGCCAATAGTTTAGAAGATTTCCCAGCCAGGTGGCATGCATCATAGAAAATATTTCTTTCTATTTTTGTTTAATCAACCAAAGTCATAATCATGAAACAGGGTGATGAAGACCAAGTTGGGCTGGAACTTGGTTCCCTGACTCACATCGGCTACAACTCCCACCTCATTCCTGCACTCCACCTCTAGACGAGAGGTTCTGTACCTGATTTACAAACTGCACATGGGAGGCAAGAAGGTTCATTGTTGGAAGCATTGGTGTAATCCACACCCTTTGTGCATGCGTTACAGGCTCCAGTATGTTCTGATCTATGAAATCCTGGGAAGGGAGAGAAAAGCCAATAAATGGGTCACCGCAGAATTCCCAGAGGCTGAGAGTGGTGGGGAAACTTCTCTTTTGGCCCTCAGTGGAATCCAGAGAGAGAAATCCACTCTTGTCATCAATTCTGCATCTATTACATACCTTTGACTGGCACTACTGACAGAAATATAATACAAACTACATAAGAAATTCAAATTCTATGAGAACCATATTAAAGTGGTAAAAAGAATGAGGTCAAATTAATTTTAACAATCTATTTTTAACCTAAAATATCCAGAACACTACATTTCAATATGTAATCAATACAAATCTTTGAAATATTTTACTTTTGTGTTTTTGTTGTTCTTGTGCTGTTGTTGTTGTTGTTTGGAGATGGATTTTGGAGATGGAGTTTCACTCTTGTCGCACAGGCCGGACTGCAGTGGCACGATCTCAGCTCACTACAATCTCCACCTCCCAGGTTCAAGCGATTCTCCTGCCTCAGCCTCCCGAGTAGATGGGATTACAGACACCCACCATCACATCCGGCTGATTTTTTGTAGTTTTAGTAGAGACGGTGTTTCACCATATTGGCCAGGCTGGTCTCAAACTCCTGACCTCAGGTGATCCACCCGCCTGGGCCTCCCAAAGTGCTGAGATCACAGGCATGAGCCACCACACCACACCACACTCAGGCTTTTTTTTTTTTTAACAATAAAATAAAATAACAAAATAAAATCCAACCTCGTCTACATGTGATCTGCCCATGCTGGTCCACCTGACCTGTTTGCTGTCCACTCACGATGGTGGCCCTGTCTTTGCTCAGTATCCCCCAGCCCCTGCACCCTGCGGCTGTCATTCCCGGGGAGGCTGCTCAGGAGCACTATTTCTGACTCTCTGCACAACTATCGCTGTCCAACTTTGGATACTGGCCCAAATCACCATCCTCGAGAGGCCCCACCAACCTCGTCTCCGTCTCACTCATCACCTGATTATTCTTCATGGTTCTGATCAGGAATTTCTGACTGCTATTTTGATCTGTGTATCTTAATACTATCCCAGAGAAAAGGTTTCATGAGGGCAGGGCCTCTGATAATTATCCCCACTAGCATGGTGCCTGACTGACAGAAATCATCCAACGTATCCCTATGGAATAAAGAACAAGAAAGTGCAGGAGACAGAAGTCTGGAAGCACATAGAGATAAGGCATCATAAGCTAAGATATCAGTCTTAGCTTGTGCCTTCAGGCTAGCACTACAGACCCAGGATCCTGACCCACCTCCACAGATTCAACTTCCAGGTCTGCCCTAGTGCCATGTCAGTCCCCATGAACTCAGGCTCCAGACCCTTCCCTGTGGATCCAAGGATGAGGCCCATCACAGCACCTGGCTGACATCTGCAGACCCAAGTACAAGGCCTACTCCAGTGCCAGTTCAGCCCCCATGGAGCCAGGCCTCAGGTCACCTCTCTGGATACAGGCTCTGACCACCCTTGAAACACGCCACATGGCCTGCGCAGAATCTGTGAACAGGCAGACTGGTGAAGGGAGTTCCCTGACAAAGCCAGTCTGCAAATACTGGAATTAATCCCTGCTTCATCAAAGTGCACATTCGAACACATTGCCACAGGCTCCTGAGCAATCAGGGAACTGTGAGGGCATCAAAGAAACGAAATGAAGCACAAGTAACCAACCCGAAACAAACAGACATTTACAACAGCCTGACAAAGAATTGAAAACACTCATCTTAAAGAAGCTCAGTCAGCTACTAGAGAATACAGATGGACAACTAAGTCATGTCAGAAAACAATACATTATCAAAATGAGTAGTTTAATATATACAGACAGCATAATAAAGAACCAAGCAGAAATCTAAAATTAAACAACACAATATCTGAACTAAAAAATTCCACAGAGAATGTCAACAGCAGAGTTGATTAATCAGAAGAATCAGTGAGCTTGAAAACAGAGCATTTGAAATTACTAAGTCACAAGAAGAAAAAGAAAATAAAGAATGAAAAAGAGGGAAGAAAGCCAACAGTACCAATGGTTACCATGAAGCAAAATAATACATGCATTATGGTGGTCCAAGGAGCATCAGAGAAAGAGAAAGGAACAGAAAGTGTAATTAAAGAAATAATTAAAGAAAATGTCCCAAATCTGGATGGGAATGGACATCCACATTCATGAAGCCCAAAAAATCCCAAACAGATTAAATATGAAGAGATCATCATCAAGACACATCACCACAGCATCTAGTGGATCCACCTGTACAGTGCAAATTGAAGTTTTAAGGATTGCTTTTTTGCTATACTGTTGCAGAAGAAGGATAAGCCTCCATTTGCTTTCTCTATGACTTCTGTTAATCAGAAAAAGCCTGCTTCTCATTCTCAATGGTAAGTTTTACCCTGCAGTAAATAACCAAAGAGGCAGAGGCTGCAGTACAAATGCTTCAGCAAAAAAAAAAAAAAAAAAAAGGAGGCCTTTGCTTCTATTTCAGTAGATTTAGTGACGTAGGCGTGAGGGTATGTTTGTGTTTTTGCAGGAGATGAACAAACCATGTGGGTGCCCTCAAGATGTGCATGACCATGGAATGGGAGACTAGAGGGATCCATGGATCCCAACCATGGACCGGGTTCCCCCAGTATGAACCATGCTGAGAAACTGCTGGAGCGCCAGGGTTTTACCTTTTGTTGGGATTCAGAGGTACAATAGATGCTTAACGGACCAATGCTTTCTGACTGAACTCCTCTCTACCCTGAATACAAGAGACCCTAATGGGTAGGCAGGAATTTCATCACCCCTATTCAGCATGAAGAAGTTACAGAAGACAGACCTTCATCCTTCTGCAACTCTTAGAATTAAGTGTCCTCTTGGAAAAGGGAAGGGGGAAATAAGTAAGAAGCATTCAAACCAGACTCCATTTTGAATAAGGGTGAAGAAAAATGAAGCTGGATCACCAACCGGCAAGTTAAGGCTGCACAGCCTGCAATTGCCTTCCTCAATTAATTTAAAAACAAAAAGAGGACCTTTTGGATTTGAAGTTGTGTTATGTTACTCTTAAACATCATCTGGAAGGCAGAGATGAAAATCTCACCCTTGATACTGTAAAACTAAAAGAGCAGGTTTTTGAAGCCTCTCAGGCTCACTTGAACCTGCTCCCTGGAACTGATATTTTGAAAAAGACAGCCGATGGGTCGACAATCATTCCTCTTAAATGGATTAAGGCCACTGAAAGCTCTACACTTGCAAATTTGGTTCTAACAATCATATGCTTGTGCTGTCTCCTTTTAGTCTGCAGATGCGAAAACCACCGCTGGAGAGAAGCTGCCATCGAGAACAAGCAATGATAGCTGTGACAGTTTTACAAAAAAGAAAAGGGGGGCATGTTGGGAAAAAGCTGAGTGTCGGCAGAGAAGCCGAGGCAGGGCTTGGAACCTGTCCAGGGTCCAGGCTCTAAAACCCCTTGTGGCCTTTGGAATGTGTCTGAACTTGCTGGCTCCTTGCTTCTAGCACCCCCATTATCTCAAGTTTCAAAGAAAATGCTAAACCATCACAGCTGTACTTGGTACATCGTTTTCTTTCAACCCCCACATCCTCACTACCTGTTTCTTTGTTGGATCACTAATAAACAGTGTGGGCCGCCAGAGATCCGGGCCTTCACAGCCTCCATGCTAGCACTGGCCTCCTGGTCCCACTTTCTCTCTCAACTTGTGTTTTCTCATTCATTTGACTCCACCAGACTTCGTAGCCCCCACAGCCTGGTGTTGGGTCTGATCACCCCAACAGTTATTCAATCTGAAAGAACAGAACACTAACTGGATACATGAAACCACGTGAAAATATAAAACTAGGTGCTTAAAGTAAGTACATGGTCAAGTTTTTATACATTAACAAGAAACTATCTGGAAAATCCCATTTATAATAGCCACACAAAAAAATGCTTAGGAATAAATTCAACCAAGGTGGTAGCTGAATTTTTTTTTCTGATTTGGTCTTGAGGTTTTTCTCCGTAGGGAGGCTATAAACTCTAGCTTTGCCCTGATGGGGATCCAGTGGATTTCATCACAAATGTTCACAGGAAACTTCCTCATCCTGGTGGACTGTCTAATGCCTAATTAGGTGTTCATCTTGTAGGTGTCCCTTCCACAAGACAATTACTTTTACTGGCAGATGCCCCTGTGCCTCTTGTCTGACCTATGTCTAGTTTTAAGTTATCTCTACTCCTTAGGAGATAGCCACTCTTTAAAAGATAGCCACTCTTTAAAAGAAGTTAGGTTCAGATGTGTCAGGGAAAACACAGAGGAAGCAACACGACAAAACACAGGAAACACAGAAGTGCTGTATTACTTACAGACTCCAGAGAGAAGAGGACAGCACACTTTGCTGCACTTACAAGAAGTAGGGAGCCATCCAGTCCAAGGACACTAACCAGTGTGTGGGGAGCAAGAGACAGAGAGCACCCATGGGACTAGGCCTTTATAAAGATCCATGGGCATTATAGCCTAGGCTTTCCCACAGGGATTGTGGAAGACAACACCTGCAAAGAAGGTTCACACTGCTTTGGTGTGAGCTATTAGGTTTTATTGTAGTCAGCTGCTGTAGGATGTGTTGGGTTTGTGGTCAGGGAGATGAAGAACAAATGTGCTAGATCAAAAACAATTGAAGAGGGAAAGGAATTATTAACTGGGCAAAAGATGCTGTGGTATGATTGGGTTTTAAACAACTTATATCGGGCCTAAAAATGGATGTCAAGGCAGAAACTCTTAAATGAATTTATGACAGAGGTGAAAGGTCTGAAAACTTTAAAACATTGAAGAAATAAATGGAAAGTGACACAAATAAATGGAAAGACAGTACATGTTCATGGATTAGAAAACTCAGTAGTGTTTAATCATCCAACTACCCAAAGTGATCTATAGATTCTGTGCAATGTCTATTAAAATTCCAATGACATTTTTCACCAAAGCAGAGAAGACAATTCTAAAATTTGTATGGAACCACAAAAAACTTCAAATAGCCAAAGTGATCTTAAGCAAAACAAAGAAAAAGAACAAAGATGGAGGCATCATACTAACTGATTTTAAAATATATTACAAAGGTATAGTAATCAAAACTGAATAGTAATGGCATAAATGAAGATCAACTGATGGAATGAAATAGTGACCCCAGATATAAATCAACGCATTTACAGTCGACTGATTGTGACAAAGATACCACGAACACCAAATGGGGAAAGGACAGCCTCTTCAATAAATGGTGTTGAGAAAATAAGTTATTGACATGCAGAAGAATGAAATAA